GGGGATCAAAAATGAGTAGAAGATTGATTACGTAAAACTTTAAAGACCCATTCCACCAGCAAATCGCGTGCAGTGACGAACAGAAGAAAAAAAACGTGTCAAGAAAAGGAAGAAACGTTTGCTGCGAAAAGTAGTTCAAAAAAGTTTTACTGATCACTCGGAAATAATCCTCGCTCACATTTTAGTACAATACTCAGTTTTCCATGCTCTTTCTAATGGTGTAATTTTTAGCTTATATGAACTTAATCAATATTTTGAATCACGTTGATATGTATTTTGATTCCTTCAATTAGAAGTGTCTTTCTTACTTTCCGTCTTCAGCTTGTGTCAGCAGTAGAGCATCGCAGCATCGAATATATTAATTTCTTGATTTTTCTGTTCGTTGACTGGTTTATTGATCATCGAAAATCACAAGGATATCTTGTTTTTGAGGTATTGCATTAATTGAAAGAAAGAGTAAAAGAAATTTCTTTTCTTTCATTCTGACTTAACATGAAAGCTCTGCAGATTTGAAATCAAAACATCACCCTTTCGAGTGACGCAGAGAGTTACTTTTATTGTTGAAGAGAAAAAACAAATTTTTTTCTTGTGTTATTGTATCATTGGTTAGAGACACACATAATATGATTTTTCTTCCAGTCTGAGTCAGTGGAAAATTTCACGAAGTCCAAACTGGATAAGCAATCTCTAGTTAGGAATAGAAATATTTTTGCAACAGAAGTGTTATAAAAGTGAGCGTTAAGATTCACAGTCATTCAGGTGTTTCATCAATTGCGAATTGACAAGACTTAAAGGTAAAGAGCGAAACAAAATTCCTCCTCTATTTTAAGTGGAAAGACTTTTTTCTACTGGAGTTTCACTAACAAGCTAGATTCATAGTCATAGTCGTAAGCTTTCAATGCAGAAGACAATTGTTTTGGGGTTTTTATTCTCATATAATTTATTTTTGAAGAATAACTAACTTAGTAATCTAGTTGGTAGCATCTAGAGCTTTCAACGCTTAGATAAACACACCGAAAAACCATCAGTCATATCCTAGTCTCTGAAACTGAAAAGCTACCTGCAAACGTTTGCTTAAGTCAAGACATTCAAAATACTGTAGTTTCTATATTTGGAATGGCATAGCAGCTGAGTATAGTTCTACCTCTTCTCACTAAACGAGAAGTCTCGTCATATTAGAAGACCCTCTGGTGGTCGATTTTTTTAGAATTTCTGTATACGAATGTACCGAGCCCGAGCCTCTCGGTCTCGCCCTTAGTCATTGTCAAACGCGGTATCGTTGTGGTCTGAGCATCGAGAACTAGTTATTGATCTCAGTGAGGGTGTGGGTGTGGGGTGTGGGTGTGGGTGTGGGTGG